CAGAAACTGCCGTCCATCTTTATGAGTTCATGGTACTGCCTGTCTTTGGCAGTTTAACCAATTTGTTTTTGGTTTTGGTGCATTGAAAAAAAGCCATCTATCCCACTGCAACTCAGAAGCTCAGCAGAACCTGTGGGCAGGCCGTTTCGCCTGTTCCTCATCCCACTTCTCTGATTTTGGGATCAGAATAGAAGTAGTGATCTCGCTGCTTTGCATCATTCCTTAAAATCACCACTTCTTTTTTGATCATTCGTATTTTTAGAAATCAATGAACCCGTGAAATAAATGAAAGCGATGGGTAAGAATAGGACAATGCATGTCTGGCATTCTTTCTTACTTCTCAATGGGTTTGCTGAAAAGAAGGAGCCTCCTTGGCTTGAGTTATCTGAGGCTGGGAGCGGTAAATTGCTTTTGAAGAATTCGAGAGTAAAACTATTATATGGTATGGAAGATCTTCAGAAGCAAATTTGGATTTTCTTCGTCACTAGTTAACCTAGATGCTAGAGGTATTCCTGGTCAACTAGAGCTCCTAAAGTCTCACAAATGCAAATCTTGAATTTCCTGTTATTTAGAAGATTCAGGATGTGTTGTGTCAAGCAGATGGCTCAGACAATGCAAGTGACATTCTTGATTTCAATTTAGCACAGTGACATTAGAAAAAGGTGAATTGCCTTTATTACTACTATAGCTGCATTCTTACATTTTCTTATCTATTTTTGGCACTATCAGAAATTTGCAACTAGCAATAGATGCAGGCACATACTTGTGAAACCTATTATAATTCTCATTAGACCAGGACAATTTACAACCAACAGACCCTATTTATTATGATATTAAGCTATTGGAACCTTAACATTATTTTAGTATTATTGTAATGCAGTAAAAATCACTGTTAACAACAACTTTAAAAATAAGGCTATTTCTGTAACCTTTAAAGGTGGGTTATTCTTTGTCATATTACTGAATCATAAGAAGAGCTTGGTTACCTTTAAGAGTTTTAAATTTCCTATTAAAGTAATTCCAGCAATCTTTTTTCCCCAAAGCTATTCAGGAAAGGTTAAAATGAAAATTGGACTTTAGGGAGTCCCTTCCACTTCAAGAGTCGGTTGAAAACATCTCAGCTGAAGCAAGCAAAGGCAGGATCACTTTACAAAGCAGTTATCAAGGGAAATGATTGGTGATAACTTTATTGATTAAAGTAATTCCAAAAATTTCAAACTTTAGCCACTATACAGGCAAGACAATTGAAGATGATGTAGGGGCAAAATGAAGACAGATGAAGACTATTACAAGTTTAACAAAGCACAGATGGAGATTTACAGTGATTTAATGATGCAGTTAATGTCATATTTAAGTGCAACACATAAATGGACCTGAACATTTTATGATGAAAGTCATCACTCTAGTCTTTATTTTATTACCCTAGGCAGGGACTGACATGCACATGAAGTGTCTTTTCCAAGTATCACTCAGATACATTTTTGCAGGAGGTAATATTTCCATTTCCAGCAGCACCTGGATTCAAATGAACAAAAATGGTATTTGTGCTTTCACATTCTGAATTGTGTTATTTGTAACAAGTAGGTTGGAATGGTGTAACTAAATCAGGGTGAGAGTAAAGATATACTTTTTGATTTTAAGAGAGGTAGATGCTATATAGATTAGAGAAAATCAGAGCTACAAAGATCCAGATCCAGTAGGAACAATGAATAAATGGTACCCAAGTACTCAAAAAGTGAGCATTTAAAAACCATAATGTTATAAAGTAGCCATTATTAATCTTCTGCATTCCATTTATTTTGGACTATACCCAGAAAAGCTGTATTGATGCACTGACTTAAAAAAATACCATATATAACATTTTAGGTGAACACATAAAAAGTTTTTAAAAACATGCTATCATCCAAAATCCAGAGAAGCCTATATACACCTTTAATTGGGCAAAACGGTGTATCATAGGGCCAAAACTTTTTGTATCTCAAATGCAAAATAATATTCTAACAGATCAATTTACAGAATGTGTCAAAAATCTGGGACCCATGACCCAAGGGATGACATTTGGGAATGTTCTGGCTGCTTCAGTGCTACTTGCTGCTGCTGCATTGCTGGGCGGCTGCTGTGGTCATATTATCTTCATTATACTCATTATCAATATTCTCTGAATATTCTCTGACAGTTTCCAAGCCACTTTTGCAATCCCTTCCCCACTCAGTAGCAGCCGCTTACCTGCCTGCTGGGAATGGAGGGAGGGAGGAACAGGAAGGAAGGAATCCCTGTACATCCTTCCCAGTCTATGCCACCATCCGGCACACTTCACCTACCTGTGCTGCCTCCAGCCACACAGCTTCCCAACCCATCCCCCAAGTGCCTTTCCCAAATCACAAAGCCCTTTTTGCACATACACCCTGATCTGTGCTGCCCTCCCATGCGCCATCTCTGACCTGCATTTATATCCCCACGCTACCTTCCAACCCACACCACGTCCCTGCAGAGCATCCCAATTCAACACATGGTACCTCTCACATACCCCTGCAATCTCCATGCATTCTTCTTGACCTGTGCCAAACCTGAGCACCCTACTTGACCCACACGGCAACTCTTACACACACCCATGATCTCTCACACACCCTTGAACAAGCAGCAGTTATCTGTAATTTATTAGAAATTCTGAGACATAAATAAAAAATATTTTAAGCAAGTTAGAGAACCTACAGAATTACCCATCCCAATCTCCCCAATTCAACTAATTTCAATTGGAGAATAAAAATGAAACCCACATCTGACTTCAGGCAGTGCAGGCACACCCAGCTGGCTTGAAGTTTGAACATGTACATTTTATTTAACTTGTAAGTCAGACATTCTACTAAGTTACCATCAGTTAAAACACCCTGAAACAAACCTTGCTTCTGAGTCCCAGAAGTCAAGCACAGAAAAGACAGTCCGTTCTTATGAAGGCAAGAATCCAATGGAAGCAACAATGGTGTGTTAGAGCTTCCTTTCTATATCATTACCATGTCTATGTTCTGGCTTTCTTGCATAGTTTCTCAATTATACCTTTTTTGAAGCAATCACTCTACAGAATCCTTTCAAAATCTTCCCACTTTTTTTAAGAAATACATTTTACTGATTTTTTTTTTTTAAAAAGATTTTGTCTTGTCAGGTTTTCAGAGTTGGGATTAATGGATTAGTACAAGTGGAAACTGTGTTCAGACTTAGCCAACTCATTGCCAGAAAGATAGCAACAAATTGGAAAATGTCTAGAGAGGCACAACAAAAACTGTTAAGAATGTTGAAGGATTGAACTGAGAAGGAAGATTACAAAAAGCAAAACAAATAGCTTAGGCGAGAGATAGCTAGAAAGAAAGAACAAGAGAGCGGTCTTCAAATAGCTGACTGGTTGAAAATATCACAGAACAAGTGTCATTTTCAGGAAGACTGTCATCGGGCAAAATTTAGAGATATCTAGATTGTTTAAAGAGTCCAATTAAACTTACTGTCAGAAAAAGATGCTAAATTGTATCAGTACTTAAAAAAAACCTTTGGGGCATTTTTAGGGAAAAGCCATATGACATGCTCTCGTAGCTGCCTGTGTGACATGAACTGAACTTACAATTTGATACACACCTTAAGATTTCCTGCAATCTGGTGAGGCCAGGACAATGAGCTTCTCAACACCGTTGGCAAATGTGTTGATACATATTAGGAATATGCCACATATAGACAATTTTCAACACAAAAAAGTTTTCTTGATTTACAATGTTGGTTTTAATTAGGTTCGGGGGAAAAAACAATCCCTGTGAAAGTTTATGGATTAAAAAGCTATATATGGAAGAAACAGGATACAGATATTACCAACGTTATGGCACTATGGAAAACTTTGAAGGGAACCATGGACGGCCAAGAAAGCCAGCAACTGGATCCTAGAAGAAGTCAATCCAGGAATCTCCCTGACAGCACTAATGAGACTCCAACTATTGTTTTGTAACAGATGGAGATCTATTGCATTATGGCAAATCCAAAACGTTGAGAGAGAAAGAGAATGATCAATGGCAAGATGGATGAATTTGACCACAGCAGCAATGAAGTCTGAGACAATTAAAAGGCTTAGTGGAGAGAATCCATGCATGTGGTCATAAAGAGTCAGCACTAATCTGATAGCACTTAATTAATCAACTCATCAGTCAGATTTGAACTGATCCCCAGTTTTGATACAAATGAAGCAAGATGTCCCAGAGATGCTTTTTCAAGAGGCACCTCTGGGACATCTTGTTTTTTCTTGAAGATGTTTCGCTTCTCATCTAAGTTTCTTCAGGAAAAGAAAGATTTACTGTCTACAATTCTGCTGAATATTTGAAGTAAATACTTGAATTGAAGATTAATTCAAGGATTCATGATTAAATTTGGAGGCTGCCCAATTCCAGACTACTCTGGACAGCTTATATTATGAAATAAAGGACAATAAAAACAGAAAGAAAAATAATAAATCTCCTTAGATTATTACTTATTTAAAGATATCTCTTTGATTTCTTTCACATTATAAAATAGATAATAAAAACAGAAAGAAAAATAATAAATCTCCTAAGATTATTGCTTATTTAAAGATGTCTCTTTAGTTTATTACTTAATAATAATTTAAATGAATGTACATGCATATTCAGTAGTTTTGGCAGCAGCATTCTTCAAAATTTTCATCAAGTAAATCATTACTGCTTGTTGGGAATTCAGCTCCACATAATATTCCAGTGACAATTGGAAACCTTTAGAAACCTTTCTACATGTTATTATCTGCTTGTATGAACAATTTAACATGAGAGAAATGAACTGAAACAACTTTTATTTTCAAAGAGAAAGAACAGCTGTTTCCTGCAAATTCAAAGTTCAATACATTTTTGTGCAACTGAATTGGTTTCATATTTCTTCCCCAATGAATTATTTTATCCTCCCATTTCCATCCTGGGAATGGTAGTAAAATCAACTCTGACAATGTTCGGAAATCTTACCTGGTGAGGTTCAATGCCCATTTCTGTCAAAGCCGACTGGAAAAACATTTTGGCTGGTTTTCCCACCACCTCAGCTTGAATATCACAGGCATACTAGGCAATAGGACAAAAATAACACTGTTACTTTCAAAACAAAAGTGCCTGATTTACACACATTACTTGCTTTCTAGTTATTGACATTCAAATGAGGGTAACATTCTAAAACACAGCTTAAGGTAGGAATACTATTTGTAGAAATATCAAGAATAATCTCCACGGTTTACGTCCAATTTTTAAAGATGCACTTTTGAAAATACAAGATGGGTTCCACAGAAGTGCATAGGGAATTTATCAGAGGGGGAAAGGTTCTGCTGTTCTTTCATATAGCCTAGTATACCAACAACCTTGGTCTAAGCAGAAGACCAGGAGAACAACTTTGGGAACAAGTAGAGCCATTTAAATATTTCAAATTAAGCATCAAAGTTCCGATTCCAATTGGAGTCATAAGCTCCAGATGCCCTCGTTCATGTTATATGTACACAACCAATCCTACTTAGAAAACCCTATGCAGGGTTTCACTGTAAACATCAGCACTCTGAACTGTGGTTGGCTATACACATCCCATCAAGGAAGATGATTAAGACCATGAGATAGTCTACCAAAGACTTGTCTTGGCAAAAAAAATTGCTATGTTTTGAATTAGTTGAAAAATATTGGTTTACAAAAAAGATATATTTTTTTGCCTAGATCCTGTGTCATATGGTAATTTGGCAACATATTTGGTAATATGCAAATGTTTAGTGGTATATAAATATTTTAATAAAATAAACAAATACATTAGTGACACTTTTGCTGGAATAAAGAACATTATCTACTAAAACAATAAAATACCTCCAGTGCTTTCATATATGCTCCAACATCAAGTTTTAGTCCATCTGTTTCTTTATAATAGCGTCTGAAATTGAAAATGTGCAGATTTAAAATGCAATATTTCAAGCCTTTTGATCCTTTGACCCATACAGCATTCTGCATTTGCTCTCTGCCCCCACTTTCCTATTGAAAGTGATAAACTATTATACAAGTGATCTTCATATAAGAATTCTAATTCGGATGAGAAACTCCACTATTAAGCAATGTGGTTGAAAGTTGAAAAACTGCATGACTGCACCGCTTAGTGGCAGCAGTCCCAGCAATCCCAGTTGTTAAGTGGGGACTGTGCAGGTTCTCACATGCCCATATCTTTCAACTTCCTGCCAGTTTCCCCATTGACTTTGATTGCAGGAAGCTTGCAAATCACAGTCACTTGACTGTGAATGCAGCACCGAATGTGGGTGCAAGATCTGATTGTAGCTACACTCGTTCAGTGCCGTTGTAAGTTTGAATGTTCATTCAATGAGCGGTCATGAAACGAAGATGACTTGAACTAACATTTTATCACTTTCAAGCTAAGCTATAGAAGATGCAAAAAGTACGTAGTAGGCTTGTGGGTCCATATTTGCGAAAGCCATTGATGAAGATCTTAGTTAACTGTATCTGAGTAGCGAAGGTAGAATATATGGGTAAACAAAAACTCTAAAATAACCAGATTTCTAATAGCAATCTGCATGATGAAGCATTATTTAACTAGCTGACTAAATAGGACATATTCACTATTAATCATACACCATGTGTTGGAAGAAATATCCTTCTGGGTTCAGCTCCAAGTGGGGAAAAAGACACTGGAAACATGGAGACTGCTTGGAAAGATGGTTTAATGGTGGACAGGATCACATGGCTTGAGTTCCTGAACAGAAAAGGGGCCGAGATACAGCGAGTCCCCAGGTTTTATGCTTTTTCTGGCTTTGAACTTCCTGGGGCCCAGAAAGAGTATCCTGATTGGTTGTCAGACTCCCAGGGGGTGGGGGTCTTAGCTAGCCTTGCTGGCTGATGTAATCTTCCCAGGTGCCATGTGGTGAGTTTCTGTCCTAGATGGGTCCCATTGTGTTAGTTTCTGTTGCTATTGTGTTGCAGATTATGGCCCATTAACAAAGATGTGTGTGGGGGAGGCCAATCAACAGATAAGTTGTTGAATTTAATGTATTATTCATGACCTTAATTGTGATAAAATATTACACTTTCATTGTGCTTTATTAATGACATATGTTTATTTTACCAAAATCTTTTTAAAGATTTTTGCTTTAAATTACTAAAGAAAAAAAAAATAGATAACAAAAGCTAACACTTATTATGGATGAAAGGCCATTTTTATTTTATTTGTTATTTACAGTAATGTATGGGAAATAGATTAAACATAAAAATAAACTACTATTTAATGTATCTTTAATTATTAAAATCAATGGTAATGTTATTCATTCAATTGGTTAACTTACTACTTCTACTAGGCAGATCTAATATTTTTTCCTGCATCACAAATTAAAAAAGGCGGGATTCATTTTTCTTGATGATAGATTTATGTTGTCATTTCCAATTGACCTCTATGGAACACATATTCTTTTATAAAAGATGGGGTGTAGTCCAGAGAGTTAGCAATTGTTCCAAATTCCCTGCTGGTGCTACTACATATTCTTAGCAATATTATCTTCTCTTATTATAAATGGCTTTGATCATAGCACATATCACTGACAGAATCAAACCAACATTGCAAAAAGTTTTGGACTTCACTACCTAAACTGGCAGGCTCATTCTAGTCCCAATTCTTTGAAAATGCTAAGGGGGAACTTATTCCAAATAACTATGTTTGGTGATGAAGAAGCTCAGCAGCTGACTTTCTTTAGCAAACATTCAAAATATGATTCAGTAGATCTCTTTCTTTTTTTCTTTTTATTAGAACAATAAAAAGAGAGAGCTGTACAATTCAAGTGTTTTTTAACGTTCCTAAACAAATAGGTAAGGAGCAAAAAATGTATAGGATGAGCAGTCAGATAAGATTTTATGCTATATCCTTCTGCCATTTTCGATTAATCAGCACAGCCTCTCTTTAAAATGACCACTTGACCTTTGCTAGAACAGCCATTAACCTTCTATAGTCTAGCGTAAACAGCTTAATTTTCTGACAGTGGCATGACAGAGGAAATTACAAAGCCAATTCCCACTCTCAACCCAAAACAGATGCTAAATGTAAATCACTCCATTTTCACAAGGACAGCATTCTGCTTCAGTCATTCTAATGTTCTAGCTTTCAAGAGCATATACTAAAACTTTAGAGGAAAGAATTCTGGGTTTTTTTCCTAAAGCAAGTTAAAGAAATAAACATTATTAACACTGTTATACTTTACATAATATTAGTAACTAATGAGAAAAGTGGCTGAGAGGGCATTGAATGGAAGGCAAAATCCATACCATCGGCACTCACAACTCAATCACAGTTGTGATCTGTATAAGATCTTACAAGAGAAAGCTGATGCCCATTATAAAATAAATATTCCACTTAGTATGCTTGACAGTTAACGCAAACATGATTCCTACTTTCTTCTTACCAGTGGTGGGTTGTCCCTAGTTTGGATCGGTTCACAAGAATCGGTAGTAAAACTGGTGGGAGGCCCCTCCCACTGCCCCGGATGTTGTTATCAGCGATCTGCGCATGCGCAGAAGCAAGGCGCATGCGTGAGCGAAGCGAGAGAGTGTGTGCAATCCCATTGCAAACCGGTAGTAAAGGTAAGTAGAACCCACCCCTGCTTCTTACATCTTTGTATGAAGCAATTAGTAGAAGTACAGCTGGTATATGGTACAGCTAACATAAATAAAGTTATAAGAAAATCAGTGAGATTTAATATTCTGTACATCTTACTCAGAAACCTTACCAAGTTTAAGAGTGTTTGCAAATGATTATTTTAATTTGTTTGGAAATGATTACCCTCCTTTCATTAGATTGCTTTCCACAGAATTCCTTAATTAGGACTTCTCATGATTGTATATCAAAACAATATTTGAGTTTTACAGAATACAGAATAACAAACATGGAAGGGATCTTGGAGGTCTTCCAGTCCAACCCCCTGCTAAACAAAATCTAAATATCTGAATGTTTTTATAACAAAAAATAATGTTTCCGAAATATGTTTCTGCATATTCTTACAGATTTGATAAGGATTTCTGAAACATTCATGACTTCTGCTGTACTTGAACAACAATGGAATTCATTTACTTGAATCTCAGAGACAGTTTACTGACTTTTGTTATTCATTTTCCTACTTAAAAATATTCAAGCTTGGTTCCTTTAATGCCATATGCAAATATAGATAGAGAAAGCCAACTTTACTGTTACTTACTAGTCCTTTTTGTCTAATATATTGATGAAGAGATAGTCCTGCTATTGGATGCAATTAAACAACAATTCAAGTGATGAATTAGGAAAGAAAGCAGACTGAGACAAAGCCCTTCTCCAACATCCTCCTGACTCACTGTTTAGTAATCACCATTTTGTATCTAGCTCTCAACTATAATCACCAGCTATTCACTGTGTTCCTGAAGGCATGACATGACTTTCCCAGAAAGACTTGTGATTCTAACAGCCTTCAGTTCCAACAAGGTACTGAGGCACCCCTGCTCCAAAGAAGCGTACCTGACATCACTCCAAGCTATATAACAGAATCTTAAAAGTCTAAGAAAGCCTTCATTGCCCTTTTTAAGGACAATATGGCCCAAAGAGAACTGTTCTATATATCTTACTCATCCTTTCTCTATTACCAGGGATGAGCAACTATTTCATCCCTCCCACTTCTATCTATTGTTCAACATTAGTTTGTTTGTTTGTTTTTAAAACAACAAACTGGCCAAATGAAGGAAGTCCAACGGAATAGGTAGTCCTTGAATTAGGACCATAATTGAGCCTAGAATGATTATTGTAAGCTATTGCGATCGTTAACCAGGTCACTATGTGACCAGATCCAATTTTTGCAGTGTTCATTAAGCAAATGCCTCAGTCATTAAGCAAACACTACAGTCATTAAGCAAACATTACAGTCATTAAGTGAACAAATTTGGGCATTTTTTTGCCAGAAACCAGAAATAAGCATCGGAAACCAGCAAAATGGATGGGGTGGTACTACTGTAATCAGTTATCTGATTATCACTACTGTAATCACTGTAATCTAGGGGTTTTCCTGGACTCACGATTCCTGCTCGAAGAGCACGTGGCGGTCGTAGCCAGGAGGGCCTTTGTGCAACTGCAGGTTGTGCTCCAGTTATGCCCTTTCCTGGACCAACAGTCCCTACTCACAGTCACTCATGCCCTAGTCACTTCCCATCTTGACTATTGCAATGTGTTCTACATGGGGCTGCCCTTGAAGAGCATCTGGAAGCTCCAGTTGGTGCAAAATTCAGCGGCCCGCATGGTTTTGTGCAGACCCCGGTGCGCACATGTATCACCTCTCCTGCGGGACCAGCACTGATTGCCGATTTGCTTCCAGGTGCAATTCAAGGTGCTAGTTGTCACCTTTAAAGCCCTTCATGCCTTGGGATCAGGTTATCTGAGGGACTCTCTTGCTGGTCACTTCTACCGGACCCATCAGAGTGGGAAGGCAGGGAATGTTGCGGGTCCTATCCCCGAGGGAGATACACCTGGTAGGACCCAGAAGAAGGGCCTTCTCCATGGTGGCTCTTCTCTGGAACATCATTCCTCCAGAATTAGAATGGCCCCCACTCTAATACTCTTCCAGGAGGCGCTGAAGATCTGGTTCTGCCAGCAAGTCTGAGGAACCCAGAGCGGGATGGAACCCATTAAATGGCTCGTGTGATCTGCTGTCGCCGGGGTGGGGGATGGGAGATGATTTTGTTATATTGTATTATATTAATTTGTTTGATTCTTTTTGTTAGTTTTTATTGTTTTAAATGTGGTTTTATATTCTGTAAGCCACATTCAGTCGCCATGGGTGAATAGGCAATATAATATAATATAAATTCAATAAATAAATAAATAAATAAAAATGTTGAAAATTGTGGTCACGTGACCCCAGAATACCGCAAATAGCTATAAAGGTGAGCCAGTTGCCAAGCACTCTAAATGTGATCAAGTGATGGTGGGGAGGAATGTGCAACTGTCAAAACCTTTAAATTGGGTTACAAATAGCTTTTAGGGGGAGTGTCTATCGTAACTTCAAACTGTTATTAAGCGGCCAGTCGTAAGTGGAGGACTACCTGCACATTAACAAAAGAGATATAGGAGCACAGTAAAAAAGAGAAAGGAAAAAGATGTTGAGGAAAGTATGACAAAGAACATTAACATCCATATCAAAAAATAATTTAAATAGGTTCAGAAAAGAAAATTGGCAAAAGAGTTTATACCACTATTTGTTTTATCTTACTAGCCCTTTTTAGCCTCACACAAGGACAACATGAATTGTCCTACTATTGGACACCATGAACCAACCGTTCAAGTGATGTATCAGAAAGATGGGAAGACTGGGACAAAACTCTTTTCCAGTGCTCTCTTGATTGACATACAGATGTCAAAATTGACTAAAGGAAGACAAAGTCAATTAATCCTTTACATCTATCTTCAGCACCAAAACTGTTGGGCAGTTGAGAGACATCCTTGGATGACCCTACAAACCTACAAGAAGGCAGTTAGAATTTGAAAAAGTTGTGGGCATTAAACAAACATTACTATTTTTAAAAACATTTTCAGAGCTCTACTTATTAACTTACCCTCTTCCCAAAGACAGCAGAACTGGATTTTCCAGGCTTATGAGAATTTGGAAAGCATCATTTAGATTTTTGTAAGAAAAGTTGTCTGCTGCATCCCCAATTACTACACAGTTAGGATTTGTTTTATCAACACCAGCAAATTCAGGAATGAGATCTAAGGAATAATAAACATATATTTATATATTTCATGACAACTTATTTCCAAATTCATATTAACCTAGGCCTATTGAACTAAAGCAGCTCATACATTAACAGAATTGCATATTCTCTCCCTCAAAGGCTACAGTATAAATGTTACTTCATAAATCAAAAACTTACTTGATTTTGTCCAATATAGTCAAACAGTATCATCTGCACCCATAAAAGAGTTATTAACAGGCTTCAGAAAACCTTTTTTTTTTCCTGATAAATAAATGCAAAACAAATGTATAGAAAGTGTAGACCGAGCATGTTCAGCAGGGTCTAAATACAGGCTAATTGATAAGAAATGAAAAATGCATGCCATATATCTCCATCCTGAATACCTTATCTATAGGAGCTGACCAGGATGAGCCCAAGGGCAGGGTCAAACTTATCATCAGTTTGGAATTTCTATGTCCCTGGAGGCCCAAGTCCATTGACTCTTATCTGGTGCCAATTCTCCTTGAATGTTAGCAGTGCAGATTCTTGTATATAGGTAGCATGAAATAAACCCTTAGTACTTTTTTGGATTCTATTTTGACTTCTTGCACCTGACATTGCCATTTCCAAAAATCTTGCCCAGAAACCAGAAATCTTTTGAAAATGGCTTTGATAGCTTGGAAATCAAATAAATATGTCTAAGAGATGGTAAGGAGACAACTGTCTTTTACTGTCAACCTGATATCTTGTGGTTGCAGTTCAACATGACAAGAATGAAGCTGAAACCAAGAAGAGGATACATTTGCTCCCCTCAAATCATGTTTCTGAACTTCAAGATAGCTAGTTGTATGTGAACAAAGCAGAACCGATAGTACCTGGAAGCCTAAAAAGAAGGCTGTGTTTAAAAAAAAAAACGCTTCAAGTAGAAAACATTTTGAAAGATTTTCTTAGAATGCTTACATTGTCCAAGAGTAAGCAGAATAAAATTGCTTGTAAATTACAAGAAATCTGGTGGTGGTTTTATCTTTATTGTTCTCCAATACGAAAAAACAGAAAATAACCTTAGGATTGCTTCCATATGTGTTTGAAGTAAAAAGAAAAAGGACTATTTTATGAATCTGGAAACAAATGTCAGATATGGCAATAGATTGTTTATGCTGTGTACCAGTTTTGGTGTGCAGATACTATGGTCAGGTAAGCAATTTTACTCCTATCCTGTGCCAGCTCATTCATGAAGATATTAGAAGACATTACATCCAAATGCAGATTACGTAGTTCAGTTAAATTAACAAACCAAGAAATTGGAATATATGCCAAGATCTTCCAATGAAAGATTGGCAAGGATGGGAGGTAGGAATGTTCACCCCATACTCAGCTGTATTACTTCAGAAAATATGGATTATGAAAGATCAGATGTTCATCCTAATTGGGCCATTATATTATCCAGTTACCACCTCATCTGCTTACTTTCATTATTAGTTTGGGATTTTTGTTTTGTTTTGACTTCCAGTTGTCTTAATCTAATCATTAATCTAAAACTAATTTAGTCTGTGAATATAAGAGTTTCATTCCTGAATTACACACATCTAAAACGAACCTATATTAGGTTGAAATTACTTAATTGCAGTCTACTTTATATGCAAAATTTTAAATATTAGCAAACCATCATGCACAAGAAGATGAGGCCTCAGATTGCGCTCCTTCAGAATTCGACAAACTGCAGGTGCTGGAGCAGTGACTTCATTTACCGCGATGTCAAAACCCAAATGCTGCAACTTTTTTACAAATTTGTCCCGCGTAGCTTGAGTTTCATTAGTACAAAACTGCAGCTTTAGACCAGATGCCTTGATCCTGTGACAGTTAAATGGTATATTATTAAACTAATTAGTTATACAGAATGTAGGATTTAAATGAATATTTCTGTCAAAGCTTATAGTTATAAGTACATGTTAAAAAGAATTAAATGAAATGTAAATCACAATACCACGAGTAATTTACATTTATGTTTTATAATTATAACACAAGATTAGCATATTTATAATACAATATATGCTGGTTGTCTGTCACCAATAGTTAGAATTCAAGAAAAAATGTGTTTCAGTACAAACACTATGATTAATAATGCCGCTTAAGTCGTGAAATGTCAAATTTTAACAACAAAAGCAACCTCATTAATTCCATTTACTTGTTTTTTTTCTAATAAATTAAGTATTTTAATATGTTTACAGTTTGAAGATTCCAATTCAAACATTACCATTTGTAATTCATTTCCTTTTTGAATTTCATTTTATTCTGCTCTGCCTCAAGTATTTATAATGGAATCGCCCCCCTCAGAATAATGTGCAAATGTGTACATTCTTTTCTGTATTACTGAAATTGCTGCACATACTGTAAGGCAGCATTCTGTTTTCCAGGACAGTATCATATTGCCAGATGTGTAAATCCCAGATGCTGTCCATCTTCAGTTTAGGAACTCCTTCCAGTTTGCCATATATTTATACACACAGATGCAATTTAGTCAACAGTAATCCTAAAAGAACTTGGTAGTCGAAGGCATGAGACAAAAATGGAAATCAGAATACATATCCTATTTAATTTAATTTGCATTTCAAAGTAAGACTATCCAGTTCCCACCAAATGCTTTCGACCATAACTCCCTTCATCAAAGCTGGATTTATCCAATGATATAGATTATAGACGTTATGGTTAGGGGTGTCAAACTCATGTCGCCATGGAGTCATCATGTGACATATAACAACTTTTTCCCCTTCGCTAAAATGGGGGTGGCCGTGGCCTGCGCGTGACGCATCTGGCCCGTGGGCCACGAGTTTGACACCCCGGTCTAATACATCTGGATACTATTCCTGTCTTATTTCTTTAAAATAATTTTAAATATATATTTGTGCTACTACCGTAGGGACCTATTTCAAAAAAGCACTGCGGTAAGAAAATGATATACACTCTATCAAATAAATCAAAATATACATTAAACCATATTTATAGTTATTATGATTTTATACTCTCTGTGATACTTTTCAAATCAACCCTCCACAAGTACGTCTTTAAAAATGTAGCTCCGCAGTAGAAAAACAGTTGATGGTCATTTAAAATACTGAAACATGTCATCTCCAGATTCCTTCTTTTTGTATTATTTGTCTTTCCTAATCACAGGTATGTGAATTATCAATTACAGTTAGTGGTTAATTGCCCTTCATAAAGATAGCTATTCTATTTTAAATTAGGCAGTTAATATATTATAACTAATAGCATCCACTTGTAAATTATAAATATATCTTCACTGATTGGAGCAATGAATGTGAGAATTAGTCATGAGCTAATGAAGCAATTGAATAAAGAAGGATAACGTGTACCCAGGGAATAATTATTGTTAATGAATTATGATGTGACCTTCTCAGAACAATGAACAATTGGAGCAACAGTTAAGATGACAGGACTTCACATCTGTTATTCCAAATATAGTGTAAACTGGAATATAAGCACAATCAACATACACATACATGCCCAGCCTCACACATACTCACAAACAAAACAAAGATGCTAAGTGGAATTATATACAATTCAAAGTACTTCACAAACCTCACATAAAAAACAAGTTATGTTTTCATATATTGAAAAAAAATACTTTATGTGAAATTTTGCCTGGAGTCTATGAATCACCTGATTATTTGTTAAACTTATTTATTTATTTATTAGTCATATTTCTATGCCGCCCACTCTCCGAGGACTCTGGGCAGCTTACACCAAAGACAGTATACTAAATAGCATATTGCCCCCAACAATCTGGGTCCTCATTTTATCCACCTCGGAAGGATGGAAGGCTGAGTCAACCTTGAGCCGGTGAGATTTGATCCGCTGATCTGCTGAAGTAGCAGTCAGCTGAAGTAGCTGTAGTACTGCACTCTAACCACTGTGCCACCTCGGCTCAACTTAAGTGAGCACAAAGAAACTTGGGCCAAATCTAATCTTCTCAGATGGTATATCTCTACTGGTTGAATTACCCTGATAATTTGCTGTCTCAGGTAGAAAACTCCCATTCTCAGAAGACATGGTGAACTACATTGGTCCATAAGCTCTCTGGGAAGTTAAAATACAATCCAAATAAATTAAATAATGTTTTCCCAATTCAAAATGAGGAACGTCATTCTGTATAACTAATTAATGCCGCTTGTGATTGCCTTGCCCCTTCTGGGAGAAGAGGAGATGGTACTACCCTAGAGTGAAGTTTTATATCAGATAAGAAGAGTAAGGTTGAAAATTGTGAGTTGAATCCCTCCGAACCAGGGGTGAAATGCTACCGGTTCATACCAGTTCAGGAGAACCGGTAGGGACGTGGCAGCAGGTGGTTCGGAGAACCGGTAGAGGTTCCACCCCCCCAGACGTCATTACTTCCTGGTTTTAACCAGGAAGTAACTGTTTTTTACCCTCTGAGCATGCGCAGAAGGCTTTGTGCATGCGCAGAGGATCCAAAATTGTGTGCAGTGCGCACACTTCCAAATCAGTGGGGAAGGTAAGTAGATTTTACCCCTGCTCTGAACCTTTAGTTCACATATAGTCTGTTCAAGTTCTTATTACTATTTTTACATGCATACTTAAGCTTTCAATATACTTTTTCATCTCAGACTGTTCTGTATTATTCCTGACCTCTTGCCCCTTTTTAACCGTTTGCAAAACTAGGAATGAACTGATGAAAAAGCAATCCAGGACTCAATCAACAGCATCTGTTATAAGAGTACTCCTTCCTGTTATTGTTTTAGATGAGCCATGGTGGTGAAATGGTTAGAATGCAGTATTACACCATGGTGGTGAAATGGTTAGAATGTAGTATTGCACACTGACACTGCCCACAGCCAGGAGTTCGATCCTGATCGGTTCAAGGTTGACTCAGCTTTCCATCCTCCCGAGGTCTGTAAAATGAAGACCCAGATTGTTGGGGGCAATATGCTGACTCTGTAAACCCCTTAGAGAATGCTGTAAAGCATTATAAAGTGGTATATAAGTCTAAGTGCTATTACTATTACTATTAAGACCAAAGACGTGCATAGGCTATGTCACATATCTTGATAATCTATCATTGGTTTTTTTAGTCTATTTAGTGAACTTACCTTCAGTACATACACGTTTTATCCTTCATGTGTTATGAAAGTAGCCAACTATTGCTTATTTAAGCAAATTATGGCAATACAAAACATGGCTTAGTATTTGTTCAGCCACAGGGAAATAAAGGCAAATGAAATAAACACAATTTGGCATGCTAATATGAACACAAGCTCCGATGTTCAGTCTTCAAATTTCCAAATAAATTCACCTTAGCTGTTAAGTCTGAATCTTTTCATCCTGCTTTGGCAAAGGAGCAACAGCAGCAATTTAGAAAGCAGCAGTGCTTTAACATGATCCTTTGCTATCTCTCTTCCCCATCTGCCAATTTTTGTCACAGCCTTTATGTCATGCAGCATGAGAGGGCAAGAACAGGGTTCATATTTAACATGCCCATAAACTGACCCCAAAAAAACGTTGGCAAGGGCAGTTGGCTAAGACTGTACAAGGTCACAGAGGATGTCCAATAATTGTCCTAACACTTTACCTGTTATGGCACAATAATGAGAGGTTTTTTTCATTATTTTCGGGTGAATGAACCTGGCAGATGCTGACAGCCAGCAGATGTGTAAAGTTCGAGGTGATTTGTAAGGGACCAGCTCATCTGACGCACAGTAATTGCATTGTGGGACACTGTCACTCAGATTCTTGTCCTGTTCTGTCAGAATGAGGTAAAGGTCAGTTCAAAGAACTGGTATAACATCAGAGACAGCTCCTCGCTGAAATTTAAAATATTTTCATACATCTCCTTCACGCCCATCCCAAAATATTAAGGAAATCAAAACTGGGGCTCCTCTTGCTGGTGAAAATTATGCTTGGGAAAAAATGAGCAATTTGCAATAGCTTTATTTATTGTTTTCAATGTTGCTTGCAAATGTTTTGCTTTCTAACTAATCTCTCCGTTTACTTTCTGAACAGAGACATTTCCATTTCCTTCTTGATAATCTATCTTTTCCCTAAGGAACTCAGAATAAAATACTGGGATTAGGAAGCAGATTTTCAAATAGAGAGGTACTTTTGGTAAAAAGAAATCTCACTATCTCCACTTTCCATTTATTTGCTTATTTTAAAAAATGTTATCCTACGTGCATATGCATTACTCAAAGTCTAATATTCCCCCTCATATGCTACTAGCTTGCATGTGACAGACATTCAGAGAAACCCAGCACTTAGGAATCCATGACAGTTGTGCGGATACCCTCCTTTAATATAGAAATGGAAACCCAATCCACTAGCTTTCCAGGCTTGAGCTGGAGGCAAACTGTAGTAGTAATAATTACTACACAGTGCAATATAGCATGGTGTACAATATAAGTTTATAGAAATATTTTCTGAAGTTTTGACCTACCAGGAGATCTTATTAGTTTTTTAAAAAAGTGTAGCAAATTTAAAAAGTACATTCTTCAATTATCAGAATTTTTGAGTGATTCAGGATTTATTTATTTATTATTTATTTATTTATTTTTGCGATTTATATGCCGCCATTCTCCCGAAGGACTCAGGGTGGCTTACAACAACAATCAATAATACAAATCACAAAATAACAAAATAAGTTAAAAACCCCTTAAAAACCATATTTAAAATTATTAGTTTGTGCAACCCCTAGCAGATAAGTTATTTGACAGAAGAGCCACGTCTTCAGTTCGCGGCGAAAGGAGAGGAGGTCCGGGGCTATCCTGAGCTCGGTGGGCAAATCATTCCAGAGGATCGGTGCTCCGACAGAGAATGCTCTCCCC